GTAGTCCCAGTTACTCAGGAGGCTGAGGTGGGAGGATCCTTCTGCCTCAGCCTTCCAAGTAACTGGAACCACAAGTGCGTGCTACCATACCAGGCTAATTTTTGATTTATTGTAGATACGAGGTCTTGCCGAATTGCCCAGGCTGGTCTCGAACCCTTGGACTCCCCTCCCCTCCCCTTCCCAAAATGCTGGGATGACAGGCGTGAGCCACTGCACCCGGCTATGTTATGTATTTGTGACCACAATTTAAAAGCAAAGAGATTTCAAATATAAGATGTCCCACAGTAAGACATCGCAGGAGAGTTCCTTTATGAAGTTGCAAGCAGAAGTCAGAAAGTCAGCACAGTTTGTAGCAGATTCTGTACTTTAAAATCTCTCAACTGTAGCTTTCCCAGATTTTGATGCTCCATACAAGTGTAGTAATAATTTTTTTTGAAAAAAAAGAAGGACGAGGCTGGGCTCCGTGGCTCAGCCTATAATCCTAGCACTTTGGGAGGCTGAGGCGAGTGGATTGCCTGAGCCTGCGGGTTCGAGACCTGCCCTTGTCTCTACAATGAGCCGGGCATGGTAGTGCGCGCCTGTAGTTCTGGCTACTTGGAAGAATGGCTGGAGCCCAGCAGGTCAATGCTGGGGTGGCCGTGAGCGTGTGTGCCACTGCCCTCCAGCCTGGGCAATGGAGTGAGAATCCAACTCAAAAAAAAAAAAAGGACAAGCATAGTCTTGGAGTGGTGGCTTTTGAACGGATGTTAAAATAAATAGGAGTCCAGCAGAGAGGTTGGGGGTGGGGAAGGGAAGCACTAACCCGGCCAGGGGAAACTGCCAGAGCAAAGTTAGAAAACACAGGGTGTGTTTGCAGGGCCAGTCCACTGGTGGGGCTTCGTGGCAGGGTTGGTGGAGGGAAGGTGAAAGTGGTAGCCTGTGGATGCCATGAAGAGAAGGAGAGACTGGGCTTGGTGGCTGAAGCCTGTCATCCCAGCACTTTGGGAAGCTGAGGTGAGAGGATTGCCTGAGCCTGCGGGTTTGAGACCAGCCCGGGCAACTCGGTGAGATATCTCCATAATATTTCAAAAAATTAGCTGGTTGTAGTGGCGTGTGCCTGTTGTTCCACTACTTGGAAGACTGAGGCAGAAGGATCGCTGGAGCCCAGCAGGTCGAGGCTGTGGAGGCCGTGAACGTGCCCCTGCACCCCAGCCTGGGTGACAGAGTGAGACTCTGACTCAAAAATAAACAAATACATAAGCAAACAAACAAATAAATGGGGAGAGGGAGCCCATATGTGGAGGTTGAGGTCGTTTCTTGCAGGGGAAAAACCAGGCAGGATGAGCCTGGGGAACACACATGTCGGGGCTGAGGAGGACGGGATGAGTGTGATGACAGGTGCGACCCAGCAGCCTGGGGACAAGTGAGCAGCGCTGAGTCCCAGCACAGCGGCTGCCTGGGCCGGCGACGCGATTCACCTGCAGCCGGGCTGATCACAGGCAACCTTTCCTTGAACCCATCAGGAAATCACCACGAAATCTCCCTTCCCATAAATTAAAGGCGACCTAGGTAGCGTCCACCTCCATTTGGGAGAAAACAACAGGGCCTCCGCAGCTGTCCCTGCCAGCAGGGGCCTTTAACCCCCACTGGTCTGGGGCTGGGAGCAGTTTGGGTAAGATAACAAACACTGCTGGTCTCCGGGAGGGGGCAGGAACCCCGCTTTCTCCACCATTTATCTGAGCAGTTCAACTCTAGCTTCCTTTGGGAGTGGGCGGGGAGCTGGTGCGGATGGCAGAGGAAGGAGAAAGGACGCTCAGTGACGGAGCCTCCTGGCCACTGCAGCACGGGGTACACTTGCCAGGCATGACTCTCCCCACCACCTCTACAACAGAGCTCCGAGCTCCAAGCCCCTGATCCATGGCAACCGGATTTTAGGACCAAAACAACTGTTAGAAGTTCCCACATGTTCTACCCCAGACTCAGGGATTTCTGAGACAGTGTATTTGAAATATTCCATTCCACTAGCCTCCACAAACAAGAATATTTGTCAGACCCTGTGTTCTGGAGGCTGGTTCAGGAAACGCGGGCCTGGAAGCATTCATGGCTGCTATGTATTGAACTCCTACTCTGTGCCAGGCATAGCGTTCATCTCATGGGGCACTGCATTGTACCTGCCCAGAGACTCTATCCAGAGGTGCTGTTGTTACTTTCCCATTTCACAGTTAGGGAAACAGAGGCTTCAGGAAGTTAAGACCCTTCCCAAAGTTGTGCAGTCTGTCTGGCCGACTGTGAAGCACCACAGAAAACACACTTCTGATCCAGCTGGTTTAACCTTCCTGTTAGAACTAAGGATCTGCATGTGAGCACTCATGTCGACCACCAAATGCAGTGGGCACCGAAACCCTTGGTGATCAAGATAGATTATATATATATATATAAATCTTTTTTTGCTTTTGAGGTGGCGTCTCACTCTGTCTCCCAGGCTGGAGTGTAGTGGCACACTCCCGGTCACCAGAGCCTCGACCTGCTGGGCTCAAGCGATCCTTCTGCCTCCGCCTTCCAAGTAGCTGGAACCACAGGCACGCGCCACCACACCTGGCTAATTTTTTTGATTTATTGAAGAGACAAAGTCTCGCCAAGTTGCCCAGGCTGGTCTAGAACCCCTGGGCGCAGGCAGTCCTCTCACCTCCGCCTCCCAAAGTGCTGGGATTACAGAGGTAAGCCACTGCACCCAGCTGATAAATAATATTTTAATGCAGTGCTTACAAAACTCAAAATCAATGCAGAAACTGGATAATGAGCAAAATTTTAAGTAGAGAGAGGATCCAACCAGTGGCTTGGGGTGGAGGGCCTGGCGGGTGTTCTTCATGGGTCGGTCTCTGAGCTATTGTGGACCTTCCTCATCACTTGCCCCTTTCTTTCTTAGGAAGCTGAGGCAAATTCCAAACTGAGGCTCGGGCACCTGGGCACAATTTCCCTGCTGAACGGAGACTGGGTCTGGAGCCACACGGGAATGAAGGAAGTTGGCTTGCTGGGCCCTTCTTCACACCACTGAGGGGACCCTGTGGGAGAGCCCGGGGCCCCTCCCAGGTGGGAACCTTCCAACCCCATGACGCTGTTCCTGGAGCGTGCAGGCCATGCGTGTGCGCGGACACTGCCAGTCCCTCGCCGAGAAGAAGACAGTGCCTTTGGGTGTTGCTGAAACTCTGGTGAGGAGAGATTTTGCCCTTGGCCCATCCCTTCCCGGAGCCTGGGGCACTCACTCCTGGGGCACTCACTCCTGTGGAGACGTGCAGGGGCGGCAGCGGCAGGCGCCCGGGAGGGGAAGTCACACAGAGCTCCCTCTCCCCAGCAGGTCTCCAGCCAGGGGCAGGAGCAGTTAGTTTGGGGATGAGGATTCAGAGGGCCCTTCTAAGGGCGGGCTGTGGCTGTCCCCACCCACCGTGAGCCCTTGCAGGGGCTTCCCCAAGCAGGGAGACCAAATTTCCTTTCAGAATGAGGAGTCAGTTTGAAGTCTACCGGTGTGGGATTTGGGTCTGAAGTCTGGGGCTTGAGCTCCCTTCTGGGGTGACCCATTCTCCCGGTTTGCCCAGGACTGAGGGCTTGCCCGGGACGTGGGCTCTTCAGTGCTAAAACCAGAAAAATCTACACAAATTGAGAGGGGTTGCTCCCTCTATTTTCAGCCCATTCTTTCCGCGTCTTCCCTCAAACTTTCAATCTCTCCTTTTCCATGTGGATAGAAGTGAGATGCTAACACAACCTGCCGTCTCCACCTCCCAAACCCGCAGGACCCTAAAGAGCCGTCATCCGTGTCCCAAAGCACCTTGGCGCTGCCCATCAGCGCACCCCCCACAACCACCAGAGGGCTCCTCTTCCTCCCACTTTGAGCTCTTTGGAGTGAGACCACCTTATTCATCTCAGTATTGCCAGAACTCGGCAAAGAGCAAGGACTAGAGAAATCCACGCTAAGTCAAAGTGCTTTGTAAAGCCAAGCGAAATGTCCTCACTCATTGGTCGGTGCCTCCTTTGCTGGCCTGGCCTGCTTATCCCGTGGGGACCCCCTGAGGAGGTCCTCTGTAGGCTCAGACATGTTTGCCCCCAAGGGCAGCTGTCAGGAGGACCGCAGGACAGCGGAGAAGGAAGCTGGGACACTGCCTTGTTCTGGGCGGACCGGGGACAAGGACCCAGACAAAAGTGAATGGATAGTGATGGAAGCCAGAGCGGGCCTCCTGGGGAGTTGGGGAAAGGGCTTCACCTGGGAGCTTAGCAGACAGGCCAACCCCACCTGCGCCTCTGGAGCCGGGCTTCCCCCAAGGGCCGGCCCTCGGCTGCCTGCCTCCCTGCCCCTCCCGGAGGCCAGCCATCCTTCAAGAGGGCTCCCTGGAGGGCTGCTCTCTGGGGGTCAGCCAGAACTTGGCAGCTGAGCTGTCCCCTTGGCCTGGTGGACCGTCTGCCCCCGTCTCAGCTTCCACCTCCCCCCCACCCCTCGCCTCTCCCATCCCATTCTAGGCTTGCCCTAGGTCCCTGGAGATGTAGGGTCCTGGCTCTGGGTGGCCGCCTAGGGTCCCAGCCTCGGTCCTAATGCTCCAAGCCTCGGTCTCAGCCGACTGCCCTAGTGAGGTGAGGGAGTTCTGTGGCTCCGAGACCATTTGGAGCTGGCTGAAGCATGGGGCGGGGGGATATGACTCAAAGTCAGCCTGGACTCAGGAAAGCCCCTCTCTAGCCCTTGTCTACACCAGAGGTTCCATCCCACGTGGCCTCCACATCCTTGATGATCCTGGTTCATTCTCTTGCTGATACACCCTTCCTGGGGCGCAGCTGTGCTGGGGACAGAGAGATAGCCCCATCAGCAGAGAATTCCATGACTTCGAGTAAGAGAAACCCCAAAGGCAGCTAGTCTGGTCTCCTGCATCCGGGTAGGGTAGACAGTCTCGCTTGAAACTCATGGTCAAGGCTCAGAGAGGTTGAGCAGCCCAGAGCTACACAGTAAAGGCATGGTCAGCAACTCCTCAGCCACCTACCTGAACCCTCCTTCCTCCGTCTGGATGATTTCTTCTCTGTCTCACTGGCAGTGCTCCCAAGCACCCCGAAGTCCTCACCTGGGCCCCCCGTGGCATCCACCAGGCCTGGGCTGCTGGTCCCCATCTCCCCGGAGCCCCCGGGCGGGCCTGAGCTGGGCCTGCACCGGGCCTCCGAGACCGGGAAGTGCCAGTCGGGGGGCTGCGGGAAGGCGGGGTGCTGCTCGGTGAAGATGCGCTCCTCCTGGGGCAGGGTGTGCGGGGTGGCCGCCAGGCAGGAGGCCGAGAAGTCGGGGTACACTGCAGCCGCGGTCACCGGGAAGTCCGGCTTCTGGTGAAAGGAGAACGGGGTTGGCGGGTAGTGGGGTGGCCCCGAGGCCCCGCTGCCTTCGGAGTGGGGGTTTCGAAGGCAGCCCCAGCTGGGGGCTGGGGGCCGGGGGCTCCGAATGCAGCTGCTGGCCGCAGGATCCATCCGTGTCTGCCTCACGCCTCGGTCCTTTCACAGTTCGACACTTTTTATAGGCAAATTTTCAAAAATGCAAAAAAGAAAAAATGAAATAGGAGGGGGAAGATATTCGATCGAAAATTCAGCCCAGGAACCAAAACAAAAACCAAAGCTAACGTCTCGCCTTAACGTCCGCACAGGTGTGGCTGCGACCCCGTGCGTGCACACACCTGTGTCAGGTCACTCCGCGCCTCCTGTCCCTCCGACACACAGGTCTGCCTACTGGGGTCTCTTGCACGTGTGTGTGTCGCCCGTGACACTAGACATGTTCTTGGCCCCAGCCCGGACGTCCCAGCTGATGAGGAGAGCCCCAAGCGAACGCCTGCAGAGGGCTGGCCTGCAGAGGGCTGGCCCGGGGCTGCAGAGACACACTTTTAAATCCTGCGGTGGGGAGAGAGTGACACATTTCTGGAGTGAAATGTGAGAGAGGAGAGGGAGGAGTTAACCCGCACACACAAGATCGCCTCCAACCAAAACCCTAGCAGGCAACTATTAATCATCAGAAACCTTATATGCACATCTAATGGGATTTGCAGATGGAGACTTTTAAAGAAACATTGTCTGTATTTTTTTTTAAGGAGAGAGCAGCGCGCACACACGTGCGCGCGCGCGCGCACACACACACACACACACACACACACACACACACACTTTAATGTGCCTGCTGTAACACTATGAAGTTATTTTTATTGCACTGTTAACAAAATTCCCCAAGTCTTGGATTTGGAAAGAGCCTTAAGTCAGGTCCAGAATCCATCAGATGCCAAATTCCAGGGGGCGGGGTGTGCAGTAAGGACAAGAGACAAGCTTGGTGATTGCATTTGATTTAAAGGCCCTTCCGCGCTGCTTGCGGAAGAAGGAAGGTGGATTACAAGAAATCTTTTTTGCAAGTCTCAGTGGTCCACTAGGGTCTGTGGTCTAAAGAAAGGCACACTCGAGAAAGAAAGAATTTCTCTCTGCCCAGAGTGACATTCTCACTTTCTCGGTAACTTGCAAAAACAGTCCGATTCTTCCTTCCGCTCCTTAACCTCCAGCTCACATGCCAATTAGCCACACTCTGCCCCTGAGAGGCTGTAAGTCGTTTTTCTCCATGGCTACGGCAAAGCTCTTGAATATAAGGTCCCTGAAGTTTCTTCAGGGCTTCCCACCTGCTCCCTGACCCCCAGCCTCCACCCACCTGTTTCACTTTCTCTTCCCCAGAGACTGAGGCCTCCAGGGAATCTGGGGTGTGGGATTAGGAATCAGGCGCCTCTCCTTCCCCAAAGGAGTCTCTTAGGCAAACGGTCACCCAGGTCTCCTGCTGGCATATGTCACAGGATGGCCAGTCCGTGTGCTGTCTCCCCTGGTCGGTCTGGCTACCTCACGGCCGGGTCCTGCTGGTCTCTCTGGAGGATTCGTTCTCGGAGGATGACGTTGCTAACATCCAGGGCCCGGATCTCCTTCCTTCCTGGATGTTTCCACAGCCCAGGCCAGCAGGATCCAGGCAGAAGCAGGAGTGCGCCTTCACAGCCAGGCCACTCACTGCTAGCTGGTTGCAAAGCCCCCTGGGGATTCCTGAGGAGGGTCCATGGGTCTCAGCTCCACAGCCTGGAGGGGAGCCCTGGGGGACTGGTGCAGAGGGTCCTAGGAGGAGGGTAAGGGGCCCTGGGGTTGTGGACTTGCCTTTAACTCAGAAACTCCAGTCAGATACCCATCCCTGGGGGCAGGGGAAGCTGTGAAGTTGTGTACACTCGTCATGAAAAGACATACCCTCCTCTGGAGTGAGTGGCCAGGGTGTCTTCCCGCAGTAGAGGAGATGGGTCATGACCACAGACCAGACTCCTCTCTCTGCTGTGTCCAGGGCTTGGCTGCGCTGCACACAATGCTCTCTGGAGCCTCACCACTCTCCTAGGATGGGGAGAGCAAGAATCATGTCTGCATTTTGCAGACAAGAAAACTGAGCCTCAGACGCATGACTGGGTGGGGCAGAATCACACGATGGAGAAATGGCAGGACCAGGAGCAGCCCTCAAGCATGTAGCTGTTCAGTTAAAGCAGGCCACATGCAGAGGAAGGGACATGGGGTTTGAGGTTATACTGGTCTCAGTTCAAATCCCAGGTCTGCCATGTGTGCCCTGGGATCTCACCTTCTGAGGCAAGTGCTATCATTATCAGCGCTGTTTTTCAGAAAAAGGCTCTGATGCACAGCGAGACTGTGTAACCTATACAAGAGCACACAGCAGGGAAGTGGAGGGCCCAGGATTCAAACCCACACAGCCAGGCGCACACAGACATTAGTGCATTTTCAATGACATCCTCTTTGTGAAGGGCAGCGTAAGTCACAGATAAACATGGCTCACTTTCTAGCATGTCTCTTTCTCATCAACCTTGATGATTCCGGAAGGGAACTGGCAATCACTGAGGAAATTCTAC